GGCTATGAGATGGTGACAGGGGCCAATATCAACCGCGATAAGTCTGTTGGCTTGCGGTTGGGTTCGTGGAAGGGAGTTTCTCTTCCCGGACCTCTGGACGGACGGGCCGGTCAAGATACTCGGCGTCTGGTTCGGTCCCGACCTCCTGTTGGAAATGAATTGGTCGGAGGTGAGAGAGAAGGCTGAGGGCGCAGTTCGTCTGTGGACTCGGAGGAATCTTTCCTTGAAGGGGAGGGCGGATGTATGTGCCTCGCACACCTACCCGATTCTCCTTTAGCGGCTTTCCGTGCTTCCACTCCTGTCTGACACTTTATTGGCGTTCGTAAGGCCTTCTTTTGGTGAGGCAAGGCCGCCATGGTTAGTCGCGAGATCTGTTACCTCCATCCTTCTGATGGCGGTCTGGGGGTGCCTTGCGTTGAGACTCGTCAACATACGCTTCTAGCCCGATGTGTATGCAATTAGATGAGAACGGCGAATTCTGGAAGGAAGACGCCCGTAAAAATTTCCCATCACTGAGAAATGTGCGCCTGTGTGAAGAGGAGGCCGGCCGTACTCCTCGAGGGCTCTTTCTATCGTGAATGTCGGCTTGCCCTCAAACGACTCTTACGGGAGAAGAATGGCCTCTCCGACGTCCAGCCGTTGTCTCGTAGGGCATTATATCAGGTGTTAGTTAGGGGAAACGTTCAGGATGCCGTTATTGGCGAGCTCGGGCTGACGAAGCGGGAGGCTCGCTGTATATGGCCTTGGGCGCCCGGGCTGAAATGTCTCACTGAGGCATCACTCACCTGGCTGATGATTCATGGGGTCCTCTGGGTCGCCAAGAGACTTTGTTCGGCGGGTTTGATAAAGTCGCCAAACTGCATTCGCTGCAGTGGGGGTGGGGGGTGGAGACCCTAGGTCACGCCTTTTTTCAGTGTAGTGTCGTAGCTCCGTTGTGCAAGTTTATTGAAGACATCATGGTTCGCATGCTGCGCGGAAAGAATTTTGTCCTCGAGGCCAGTTGCGTCTGTAGCAAAATAGAACCTCCGTTGAATAAGGCTGAGCACTATGTGTTCCTATGCTTGCTGGGGGTTATGCGACAGAAGGAATTTCATGGGGACGAGAAGTTTACTTCTTCCCAACTGATCTTGTTCTTCACGCATCAACTTAAAGTCAAGATCAGGAAGGAAAGGAGACAACTCCATCTATTGGAATTTGGCGAAAGATGGGCGAGTCTTGCGCGTCTCTGCAGAGTGATGCCGGTTAGGCATTAAGAATTTTGGGAATTGCTGGGTTGAACATTGGCAACCCTCCCCTTGTGTATAGGTTAGTTTGGGTCGGTTTTTGTTTTATTTTTCTCTCCTTTTTAAAAGTTAACTTAGCTAGGGTATGTATGCCAGGCTCCTTTTATTTCTGCCCCTATTTTTTTCTTCTTTTGTTTAATTCCCCATCCCTCCCATCATTAGGTGGCCAGTGATGTCAGTTCTCTGGTGGGTGCGGGGCGCCTTTCGTTTCGAGTGTGTTTTTCGTATTTTTTGTTGTGTTTGAATGGGTGAGTGTTTGCAGTGAGTGCATGGCTTGTATGAATGTTTTATATTTTTTACAGTCCCGCATTGATTTCGTCCAGTTAACTGATATTCCTGCCACAGTTAGGGGGGGGGGTACTACTAACAAAATTTTTGTTTAGTTTCTTGTACATAGATTTTTGTGAACATTTGTAAATACTCATTGGGTTTTTTTAGATTTTAAATTGTTATTTCTATTCCCCCTCCCACCACAGACAAAGAATTGTAAATACGGGGACTAGTTTAGGACTTCATAGAGTTTCTGAGGTGGTTGAGGAAAGAATGGCAAGTAAGAAAGCGTTGTTTTGGTGAATGGAATATTGTTGGTTTGTCTGGGTCAGTGATTGTGACTAGCTAAGTGTAATTTTAAGACAGTTGATGACCGTCCTTTTCCCCATTTCCCCTTTTTGGCCTTGTGCCACATTTGTACTTTTAACGTACAATAAATAATGACGAACATGCGTTTTTGCTGGTGAGAAATGAAGGTTGGATGTGTGACCCCCATTTGGTTGTTTCTACGTTGCCTATTACGACGGTCTACCATTTGAACTGTGATTTGGCTACAAGTGTTGCGGCCGAGAGACAGAAGAAATCTATTGCAGACGTTTGTTGCTACTATGAGTTAACAGTTGTTTTTCTTTTTCTTTTCTTTACATCTACATTTTTATTATTATACTTTTGATAATTATAATTTATTTATGAAATAAATGCATTAATTTGTTATTTCAAATTTATATCTTAGAATATGCATGAAATTATAAATAGCATTTATTATTCTACAGAAGATTCCTTGCTTTACAGAGGAAAATAAAAATTCTTAGTTGGAAAATATGTGTAAAATGGATCATAAATTAACAATTGCTATTTTTTATTGCAATCAGTAATATGCATGCCTGTATCACATATATTGCACATTCAAATCTGAAAACTGAAATTATGAAAAACATTATCTTGTAGAATCGTAATTCTACACTTCTGTGCAAATACCATCTAAAAGTAGATCACTACAAGATTTTGTTAAAATTGTGCAAAAGTCATCTAAAAGTAGATCACGGCGATATTCTTGTACAAAACCAGCTCCACACTTATTTTCCAAGAATTCATTGTTTATTGGTTCATAAACAAACAAGTGGACATCGCCATCTACCTACACACATCTATTTTTCATCTTGCGATCGAGTTAAATATTTTGGTGCCTATCACGTGTCCACCCAAGTAAACAAATTTAGCACGCAAAATCATCTCGCTCGTGTGCATCGTGACCATAAACCAGTTGCTAAACAAATCTACGTTACTTTATTATCTGAAGTTCTTAAAGTTACCTCTTAACATAATCCAAACTTTCAAACATCATTCACTCTTCTTCATATTGAACTTCATCTATTACACAGCAGAGAATTGCTTATTATTTCAACTTCTCAATCATAGAACATTATTTCTCTGCTGGATTTGCTCAAACAACTCAACATTATTTCTTGACAAAAAAACTGTCAAAGGAAGATAACTTTTACCACGACTAAATTTATTCCAAGCTACATTGAAAATTTACATTGTACAAAACTGTTTAAATTCCACGCAAACAGATTAATACTATCACTGACTTTGTGAACTTTCCATCACAACAACTTCAACATACTATCTTTCACTTAAACTCACAAACTACATTCCAAACACCTCAAAAAGAGTTTATACAAAGATTTAAACAAACACCACACAGAATTCACAAATCTGAATCCATTCCAGCATAAATCGTTATATTTTCTTATGCTATATAAATGAAAATTTGTTTGTTGTTATATAATATTGTTTTGAGTTATTTCTCATTTTGTCCATTGCTCTGTAATTCGTTGAAGAAATAATTAAATGCGGTGAGGATTTACGTTACTTTGAACACGCAACTGAATTCACTCTACAAATTGCAGCTGATTCCGACGCATCTCTACAGATGGTAACCCCAACGTTGCATTGAATAATAATCCTCTACAATCTAAAACACACTATATTATATTTTTATTATTCTTGAAACGGTAAATGGAAACAAATGACTCAAATCTGTTTTTTATTTTCCTGCTTTATCTTATATGTGCAGTCGAGTTCGGGTGGCTTATTGTTTTGTAAAATCTATTCGAAGCTTTTATGATCACTCGTGGGATGGCTTTATTTTAAAGTGAATTATATTGCATATTCTATCTTATCAAGTAGATTTGGTTGGTGTGTACCTTTATAAGACGAATTTTAAAAAAGTTAGTGCATGTATAAATTACTCTACACCAGATTCTATCATATAATCCTAAAATTTTATTCATATATTTTTGATTTCTACTTTTAATTCGTCTGTAATGGTTAGGAACAAAATGAAAGATAAATGAAAGATAAATACCAATTAAATTCGGAGATAAAATATTCTCACATTAAATAGAAATATCTTGTAAATATTTATTTAAATGTCGTATTTCTTTTAATCAGAATAAACTGGCTAATTACAAGCTTAATAAACTTTGTTTCTCCTTCAATGTCTTAATAAATGTACAATAAGAATAAAACATATCTCTGGCTTGTGAGCTTGATATTGTGCAAAATCGCAGGACCATTGTGGTAACTACCACCACCATTACATACACACAGTACATAGAAATCATGCGACACGCATTCATTGGTTGATCTCCTCAAAACTAGCTCGCTGATTGGTCAATTCCGACCAATCACATATCCTGCACGCGAGGAATGAAATTTCCCGCTCACTAAGGTTGAGCCGATCACGTGATACCCAGCCTTATATAAACAAAACACGTGTAAGCTCTCTCTCTCTCTCTCTCTCTCTCTCTCTCTCTTCGTTTTCTAATTCATCTTTCTCCTTGCTGCCAAGATGTAATCTTCAAGAGCTCCCGTCTTGACCATATGCAGTCAGACGTTAAAGAACATTACCATTTCACGCAAGTACAAACTCTAAAATTTCTTCTGAACTCTTACCAACTTTATCCAATATACAAATCCTTACATGCTATATTCTTCTAAACTACAGTTTAATAATTACGTCATCTTTATGAGCTCAAGTACAAATATTTCCAAATCTAAGAGACATAACTCTATCAAACCTTCAGCTTATATGCATGTACATCAACACTAATAAATTCAATTGTTATGTTTTGAATCATTACATTCTGTCTTGTATTTTATACTATCTGCTATTTTACGTCAAATATAAATTGCATTGCGTCCAGGCATTGTCCTTAATCACGCCTTTCCTTGTCAAAAGATAAATATATGCAGTACATCTCCCCTACATCATCACAGTTTTGCGACAGGCTCCTGATTTTCCAGCTTAAGAGTGTTGCTTATTATATTTCGATTATATGAGGAAAGAAACGTTGAGAAGAAGCTATTTGAAATGCATGATATAATACTGAAATTATTCAAATTACTGCGAGCACGTGAATTCATTCACATAATACAAACCAATGTTGCATCCAAAGTCTCCTCTATTTCTGGACCATCCAGCACAACACTCAAGAACTTCAGTTTCAATTAGTTTTTCTCCATTTTCAATAATCCTGCAAGAAAGTAATATCTGGTTTTATTTTACTTTTCTCTGGCGTATACATACACATACATACATATGCAATCACACACACATACGTATACATATATATGTGCGTGTGTGCTTGCATGTGCATATATATATATATATATATATATACACGCCACACATGGACATGCAAACGGATATATATATATATATATATATATATATATACGCCACACATGCAAACGCATATAAATGTGTGTGTGTTTGCATGTGCGTGTGTAAAAATATAAAAATTCAGATATAACTAAAACATATACATGAAAGACAAAAGAAAAATAGCCAAATATAATGATTATATTTTACAAGTATTTATACACTGAAGTAAATATGTCATTAGTTTTTTCCGAATTTTAAAATTTAAGAACGGGGAAAGAAAGAAAGAAAGAAAGAAAGAAAGAAAGAAAGAAAGAAAGAAAGAATGCCCTTAACTATAAGATTAGTACTTCTTCCTCTTCTTCAATTCGTGAAACGTAGTATCACGTCACAATAATATAAAAACATCTTATACTACATAATATTATTTTAACTAATGCATGCGGAAAAGTGTGTGGGCGTACTTCCCCACACTACAGCAGCAGCATTACTGTGTGATGACGTTTGATTTCATGCATGTCAACACCGAAGCACTAAAATTGAAAGATCATCATTTGAGACATAGTGGCCGAAAGAGTCGGACGTCAACGTCGGATGCTTATCTGCCCGTAGAACAGTTAAGGCGGTAACCAAAGCCAATGTGGTTTAACTACAGATATCTCGATCATCAACTTCAAGGACTATTAGCATTTGGCTTGACAGCTAATGAACATTGGAACTGTCCATAAATGTGGATATTCGGGTGTTATAAAATCATCATTTATATCCAGTCTTCTTACATGAACATATTGGCATATTGACTCTGAGACACATAAGTAATATACAAATTCTGTTGGCATGATTGAAAAACTTGTATTAATGATGCCCAACAAATAAACTCTTCCTTTCACTAGACTCACAGATTTTGTGTGTTTCTATTAAATTGACTCCACGTGTCCGCTGTTATTTATTCACTGATTATTGTATTTTGTGTACTTTTTTCCTATCATGTAGACATCCCTTTCCTTACTGGAACCTAGGAAGTCATACAGTGAGACAAATCTCGTATTCCGGCTAAAATATAAATTTATGTCCGCGACAATATTCTATATAGATTTTAACAAGAACCAGTTAACTAAGTATAGAAACTAAGTACAATTTAATAATGCGAGAATTCCCTTTAGCTTAACGTCGTTTAGAAACAAACTAGTTCCACGTGCCATGTTTAATGGATGTCAGTTATCAGTTATCTCCTGTTAATTCCCCTCTCCAAGTTCTCCAACGCCTTAACCAGGTATTGAACTCACACTCTTTGGGTCTTGTCACTGGATCTAACTAACGCCTTTATCCACTGTGCCATGTGTCCTTGACGGTACAACGGCCGAAACGCTGTGATAAATATGGCAACAGAGATGAGGATGATAGTCCGAGCAATGTAAATAGTGTACATAATACCTCATCTCAGAAATATAGACAGATACTTGAAATTAGCTCTACCCTAGGAATATCTTGTTGCATATAAGCGATATTCTGAAGGGCAAGACAAACCAAAATCTGGTCGCAAACAAAAATTATTTCAACAGAACGAAAGAAAACAAACTTCCGAAAAAGCGGTGAATCAAATTCGAAATGACTTGCATTTGACATGTATTGTAGAAGTAAATATTATCAAAATGTGGCTACAACGAAATAATTTATTTAGCCGAAGTTAAATGTCGGTGTAAATTTGCATGTTTATTTCGGAAATAACAGTAAAAGTTTGCGGAAATCTATCGTTTAGGAGTTAATGACAATAAAAGTTCGGATTCATTTGCGTCGGGTCCGTCCGCCATTACTGGCGCTGTTTACATACGTTTGCCTCGAATAATCATGCGAGAAACCTTACTTAGTTAATGGCCGTTTTACTCATCTTCCCTTCTTTTTACTCGTCTCAGTTACTGCGCAAAACCAAAAGAAGTCTTTAGACACTTTTGAAAGTGAAACTTTTATCGAATTTCTTCTTTTAAAATTTGTTTAAGTTATTTAGAAAATCAATGACAAGTGTTGTTTTTTTTTATAGTGAAGTTGTAATAAAAATGAATTCTTGTGTAAATAATAAAACAAATTTTAAAAGGTAGCCTTCCGCAATAGTCATTGCTATTTTGTAAATAATTATGCTTAAATAATATTGCTTAAAATTGTTTATGTTATTATTAAGTCCTTTGGCAGAGTCAGGGTTATTTTTTAAAACAATTTTCAGGAAATTTTAATTACGATTAGTGTGCGGGGATTAAACTGCAGATTTACCGTTGAAGGCAAGACAAATAAAAAGCAAGAAAATGTAGTGCGTTCCAAAAGTGAATGGGTTGTCTCAGATTGGAAAAAATCTATTTTCTCTTACGGATATCGAATTGAACATTTCCCATGTACAAGACAATATGTTAGAAGATCCCCTAATTCACGACTCAGCGAAAAATATGTGGCAAAATCGTTAAAAAAAGGGACTAAGCGGCAATAATAGTATGGGAAGCAATAAGAGATGGAAAAAGTAATAACTTTTCAACAAAATTTTGAAGGTTCAAAAAGGATTGAAAAAATATAATTTAATAATCAAAAATACTTTGGTCTTTCTTCTTATAGATACCTAACAAAAATTCCTAAAAAAGAGCATGGCATAATGAAAATTCCTAAAAAAGAGCATAGCTTGAGGGAAATAATTTTTTTACTGTCTAAATGTTTATGCTATTATCACGAGGAAAGATCAAAGTATTTTTTGGGTATTTTTTTTACATTTTTAATCATTTCTAGCACGTCCGAAATTTTCGTTAAAAATCTTTTTCTTTTTTTTTTTGAGTCTGTAAATTTGAAAGAAAATCCATCATATCAACCATTTTTTCCATTTTACAAAAGAAAATGAAAACCACCGTTTAAAATTCTTTTAAAAATCAATTATAATTTTTTAAAATTTATTTTAAGAAAATTAGAAATTATAAAGTTTATTTAAAATATTTTGAAACAAATATTACTTTCTGCGCCGAAAAAATGTAGTTTAAAAATAAGACAAAGCAGGTCTTAACATTTGGTGTCACTTGACAAGTAATGAGTAATGATTTTATCACGTATTGACAGCTTACGTAAGGGAAAGTTATCGTACAAAAGGACAGAAGTAACATAATTATTTAGATTTAAGTGAACCAATTTATGAACCTGCTTATTTTTAAGAAAAACTTTCAGCGCTCTAAATTTTTTTGTTTTTCTTTTTTGTACTTAGCTTTCACCTTTACGTTTACGATGCTTTAGGAATAATATATTATAAAAAAAATAAAATAAGACTGTCGAGAGTGAGATAAAATTTCATAAGAAAGGTATCTAATTAATTAATAACTTTCATATGAAATTTTATCAGAAGTGTACATAAAATACAATAATTTTATGTACATTTGTTACATTTTACTGTTATTTGTATATCTATTCATTTTATTATTAATTTTGATATTTCATTCATGGAAAAATGTCATAACTGAGATAATATAAAAAAATAAGATCATATAAATTTCATAAGATAGGTACCTAATACTTGTAGGTACCATTCCCAGTTGAAATTGAAAAATCAAATTAACTTCTGTTTCGCACGAACAATTCGCAAAAATAAAGGCCATAACAGAGGGGAACAATGCTTAAGGTGACGTTTTATTGTTTTCATGTACGGTCTTCCGTACATTTGAATTACAGCCGTTTTATGGACACAAAAGCCATGCGAAATTGGATTTTTAATGCACTGGTGGTCCGTTGATCGTAATAAGCTTTACAATTTATAATCTGTAAAGACAGATCTAATACCATTGATTAAACTGCACGCTATTTTCACTAATTTTAGGATAATTAACAATTTTAATGTAAAATAATAAAATAACAAATAACAAATAATTGTTTTGAAAATTAATTTTTCATCGCAAAAGTTTTTTGCTTTCAGACAATATTATCCATATTTATAAAAACTACTAAAAGCAACTAAAAGCATTTGAAATTAAATAATATCTTTGTTTTATTGCGTTTTGTATGTTATAATTCAGAGCTGATTTTCAGGTAGCGGGGTCCGATTAAAAAAAAATACATGATTTGTTTTCCTCAAAGCCTTGTGCTTTTAATATAATCATTAAATTGTATGGTAATGAATTTCTAGTGTTTTCATAAAATTAGTTGGGGGGGGGGCAATAAATATAAAAAAACATTTTTGCCATGACTTTAAAAAAGGAAAACAATTTCCATCATTTGTGAATAGTTTCTGAAAGTTTCATTAAAATCCGACAATTATTTTTATTTTTGCAAGATTTTCCAAATTAATACAAAAAAAACGCGCAAAAATCTTTTATCTAGTAGTTCCGCGGATACAAAGTGAAACAAGGTTGTTTTAATCAAAAGTTAGAATGTTCTAAAAAGAAGGAATTTTTTTTTTAAATAATTAAAAAATACTTTGTTCTTTCCTCTTAATAACAGTTTAAACAATTTGATGATAAAATTTTGTTTTCGTCAAGTTTGGCGTCTTTTTCATCATGCTATGCTGTTTTTTTGGTTTTTTTTAGCGATCTCATCGAAGTACCTATAAAATAACATAAACACTTTGACGATAAAAGTTTGTTTTTATTAAATTTGGGTCATTTTTTTATCATGTATGCTCATTTTCTAGCGAGTCTTTGAAGGTACGTATATATATATATAAGGAATTGCTAAAAGGCCAGCCTACCTTGCAACCCGAGTTTCGACCGCAAGATCTCCTCAGGCAAGTGGATATATATATATATATGTGTGTGTGTGTGTGTGTGTGTGTGTGTGTGCGCGCGCGCGCGCGCACGTTTAAAAAACAAAGAAAAATTTAAGTATTTTAAAATAAATCATTTGAAAATGAATTTATTAAATATTTCAAATTGATAAAACTTAATTGTTAGAAAATCCAATTATAGATGAAAAAGTCAAATTATTTTCAAGAAATGGCTTACCCTCTCATAATGACACAAAATATTTTATAACTATGTAAACAAAATACATATTCTATTCAAATAAAACCCATTACATTGCACTGAATTTGAAAACATGCTTCTTACACAATTCACAACTAATATTTTCAAACTCATTTTACAAAATTCAACCAAAATATGCATTTTCTGTATAAAAATTTGACACTCACATTCAGCACTCTATTCTTTCAATTTGAAGTCGAATTTTCATATCCATCCAAAAATTAAAACATGTTTTGATTTGAAAAAAATAAAGTTTGAACCTGATTATTAAGATTGTCATTATTGATTTTATTTTAATTGCCCATCTGTTTCAATGATACTTTCATTTTTTTACTTTGCACTTCATTTGAAGCTATTCTAGTGTCTTTTTTTTTCTGCTCCAGAAAATCATTACACGAAAGAAACAATATAATCAACCACTTACGAAGTTGTGCATCGGACGCTGGTTTCTGACTGGTCACACGCTTTGCTGTACATAATGTTATAGCTCTGAATATCGCTTTCTGTCACATTGTTTATGTCCTGTGTTTTAGTCTTACAAACGTTAGGCCTGAAAAATAAATTTTACATGATTAAAGAAGATGGTGAGGTATGAAGAACTTATTTTAAGAGATGATTATCAGTATTTTCATTATAATATAATATGATCATTATAATGTTTTTGTTGGTAAATCTGGTTTTATTTGAATTATGTTTTTCTGATACTTTGTTTTTGCAACAATGTCTGGACTTTGTTAATTCGTGTTCTGAAGCAGTCGTGAAACTGAATAAGAATTCCACACAAAGCCGGAGATTTACGCAGCTGACATGTTGTGAAGAAAATAAACTGACAATGATAAAATAAAACCACTGGATGTTCTTGAAAATAGTTTCGATTAAATTTATTTTTTGTCTATAAATAGCTTCCTTTAGTAAAATGGTCATTACTTTTATTAATGCGTAAATTTTGCAATCTATTTTTCATAATATGAAATACATAATTATAGTATTATTCTTGTTTACTAAAGATGTGTATAAGACAAATTGATTGAAAATTTATATTTTTACGCATAATATTAATTATGAATGATATATTGGTGATTATAGAAAATTATATTTGTGAAATATGAAAAAAGGTAATACTTACCCTTCCCACCAATTTTTTCCTGCGATGTTTGTGAAATACATCTGAATCCTGATTAAGCATATAAGACAAAAGCAAAAATAAAAACTATATTAATAAAAATTAAGCTACAATAATTATACTCATTCATTCCTCAAGGGGATATGTAAGAGACAAGTTTACACCAGTGTAAATAATATAATTTATAAAAAATTATATAAATAATTCTAGATTAGCATAGAATTTACAAGTCCAAAACTAAATAAGGTCAAAATCTAATAAATATCATTAAAATCTAGTAAATATCATTAAAATCTAGTAAATATCATTAAAATCTAGTAAATGCTGCGATGATAATAATATAATGTAACGGATGGTAACATTAATTACATAATTTAGTTCGTTTTACAATCAAACTTCACAAAAATTTATTTCAAATATTGATTTTCGATTAAGCTATTCAAAAACGTTGTCCTATGTTTTTTCATATGTTCAATTCCGACAGCTTATATGCATTAGATTGCATTTCAAATTACTAGTCTTATTTAAAATGCAATTATAATCGTTATTTCAATTAACCAATCATACTTTTACAACAATGAACCCATGGCTTCAATTATTTTGTTAAAACTTTATGCTTGGTTTCTGTATCATAAAACATTTTATTTTAAATTGGGATTCTACGCTCAAAAGTATGGCTTTAAGCAAATATTTTGTCATTGATTTCTTAAAAATACATTATTTAGACAAGATACACAATTTACTCAATCTTCTGGCGACATATGTTGCTATTTGTACTATAATCCATTCTTTTAAAAATATTTTTTAGGTTGAAGCAAAATAAATGGCCGTTTTGAAACACCAATTTTAAAATGTCCTAACTCGTTGTATATAAGTGAAAATCACCATTAGAATCGACACAATGTTACCAACGACCTAACAGTGAATTTACGATAAAAACATGGGGAAACTACAAAAAAGCATTTTCGATTCATTCTGCAGGCGTAAAAAAGGAAATAAGTTTAGGAAATAAGGAAGATGGGGCATGACCTCAAATCCTAACTGCCTCTGATTTGTGAAGTATTTTTCTGCAGTATAGACTTTTCTCTCCACTGCTGTTGAACAAAATGTTTGCTACTTTTCATATATCAGTTACAAATCAAGAAAATAGAAGACTACTGAGTTGTTCTGAGCGGTTTCAATAGATTAATGGATTAACACCTTTACAGCAAAACCAGAAGTTCAAGGGGGACAAGGGGGGAACTTTTACGACTCAAAGAAAGTCTGGTTTCTAATGATTATACAGAAACCGCTTCCATCAGTAAAAAGTTATCGATATAAAAGGGGGACGCTTTCTAAACGGTCAAACAAGTTACAGTGACCGAGAAATTTACAAATTGTCAGACAAATTATGAAGTTACACTTCTGCATTTTCTTCACTTTGTTGGTTTGTGCCTAATCAATCTATGTTTCAATTTTATTAAAGCTAGAACTAGAATTATGGTATACTTGCATGCATAAAACAATACTTACGTTTTTTCAGTTTAGCTTAGAATCTACTATTTTATTTTATTTTATTCTATTTATTTATTTATTTGAGCTTGGGAGGAACGCATTATCTTTCCTTGAGTTAAGAACCCCGTAAATTATACACACGAACGCTGCTTAACATTTCAAATGCGCGTGGAGCGTGCTTAATCAATGAAAATCATATAACACAAAAATAAAAATACCAGAATATCTTTTTTCTTCATAACGCATTCTCTGAAGAAACTTTAATAAAAGTGAAAAATGTTAGATAGTTAAACGTTTCTGATTTGCTTTTTATTCTATCTTTCTGTTGGATTCCGATACATATTTGATCTATATGTATCTTTGTCTCTCTCTTGCTCTCTGTCTCTGTCTGTCTGTCTCTCTGTCTGTCTCTCTCTCTCTCTCTCTCTCTTTATATATATATATATATATATATATATATATATATATATATATATATATATATATATGTATATATGTATGTATATATATATAGCGATGTACGCCTAAGAAAGGAAAGATTTGAAGGAAAACGATCATAATAATGTGGTGCAAAAACTATCATTTATGTTGTTCCAACCTAATAACCACTATGATTTGTAATTTCAGTGAGAAAATCTTATTTTTAAAGTTTTGGAAAGTATTTTATGATAGACATATTTAGAAAAAAGCGGATAAGTTATCGTGTAAATACGCTGAAAGATATTTAACAAAATGTTAGTATTTCTCTAATGATAGTTTTTCAATCTTGTAAGTTTCAGCCTTATAAAAATAGAATAAAAACATTTTTAAATCATTTCACCCTTAGCGAGGCGATAATGTCACCAAGACGCAAGGGGGTTAAAGGAAAATGAAAAAAGTTTAAGAGAATAAGAAAACTTGACGAGAAAGAAGTGGGAACTCAATCCTAAACAGGAAACAAGAGATAAACTTCTACTCTTGTTCAAAAGATGGGGAAGGTACGCGAACCCGACGATAGGCCAACCTTATCTACTCTTATTCATATTTGTGTGCTTTGACTAGCCTTAGAATTAATGAAGATTCAAAATGAAAAATGAAAATTAAATTTTTAACTCTTCAAAGTTTAAAAAGTCTGCTCTCACCAGTTACATTTAAATAATCTTATCTCAAGCTAAAGGTCTGTACGCGAGTCAATGAATATCAATATATTAACATTAAAGCTCAGTGTTGTTTGTTTTTTGATAGCATATAAACTATTACCACAAAACTTAAGGCTACAAATACTATGAAAACACAATTAAAATGAATAATAAATGTATATTTATTCATGTTTGCTGTATCGAAGTGCTCTTCATTCTGCTGTATTGGATATTTAAAAGCATCATCAAACGTAATTTGGAAGTCAGAAATGTCTTCAGTCAGTATCCTCAACTACTTTTATTTCTTTTTAAACCAATTATAAACGCCAAAGACTGGAATTCATAACTGTACTATTGACTTACATGGACACAGTATTATCAAGAAAATTTACATTAGAAAAAAAATGAGTCCAAAATCACCAAGTGATTCAAGACGCGTTTAATATTTATCTTTCTAAAGTTGTTAATTTGTAAGTTTACTGAGAAAATTACAATGATTGATATATTTATGGTAGCAGTGAAAGTAGTGTTTAATTTATCAATAACAATATTGCTTAAATCACTTTTATTTATCAAATATACAAATCGATAAGCGTGTTTCTTACTAACTTTTAAATGCTATTTTTAGAAAAGTAAATAAAAATAACATTAGCAAAACAAAGTAACACGATTTCGCTAACCTCTAAAAATACATATGAAAAAAAGATAATGTTTTTTATAATATAGAAAATTTTAGTGTTTAAAAATATCGCAAACAGTTCTAAGACTACAATTTCTTTCCAATATTGCATTACCAAATAAATGACATTGACCGATTACAATAGAACAAAATAGAAATACATAATTATTTATAAACATTTATATTTATAATCAGTTAAATAAAAAATAGTCTTGCCGAAGACCTAGTTATTTTTTTTTAAAAAAAAGACACATAAAAATGTGTTTATCAATAATCGTAAATATTTTTCTTTTTAAATTTTAACCATAAAACTTGAAAACTTGGCATTTATTTTAAATAAAATCTATGAAGTGTAACTTTAACTTAGTCATTTTTCACTTAGTATAATTTTGTCCCCATTCTTTTAATAACGATAATAAATTTTACGTTACTACTCAATAAATAAGAAAAGTTTTGCCAAATCTCGCCTGTCTCAATCTCCTCTGGGCCTTCTCCATCATGCAACGTTGCCAACCAAAATCAAATTCACGCGAATGGCCTCGTTAAACTTTCTTTGATTCACAGCCATCCCCGTCACCGCCTCCAGAAGGGGAGGTGGTGAGAGAGAATCGAAAGAAGGGATGACGATCCCGATGCTAGGCTGCGAGCGGGTGCCGACGACGACAACGATAATAACAATTCAGTACCTGACTGGAACATGATTACTTAGTAAGTTAAAACTTACATGGACTTAATGGGAAGTTTTGAGCATATTTCGAGAAATCTTTTTACACATGAACAACATTATCTAAATTTTCATTGATTGGAATATTAAAAATGAACGAAGGTCTCTACTGTTAATTGTAACATTTTGTTAAAAGAGAATTTTTTAAATTGTACATATTTAAGTTTTGCTTTTGACGTAAGAATTTTTTTTTATCTTGAGCGCCTTTCATAAGCTTTATGACAAATTGCAATGAAAATAAAGTAACTGGATGACGTTAGTGGACTATCGTATATTTTAAAGTCGCATACAAAATGGTGATTTTGCAATTAAAACAAGAAGCTGGTTGTAAATTCTAGCCTAATTTATAGATTTAGATTTTATTTATTATTTCCGATTTCACAATGTTTTCATTAGCGATCGAAGGTTATATCGATCTAAAATGTTATGGTAAAAATCAATAATATTAAGATGACTAATAATAATAATAATAATAATAATAATAATAATAATTATAGTGCATATATTTTGTGAAAAATTTCGAAATAAATTACATTACATTTATCAAATAATAAAACAAAGATGTCGTAGAGCATCGGAAAGAAAGTGATGGTGAGATAATTACATATTATTTTCCGTTTAATCATCGAGGCTTCTGCAACTGAAGATATTACAGTGAAAAACAAGCTACCAATGTTAGAGGCAAGTTCCAGTTTCGTTAGAAATTTCCGATTTCGCAGTTGCTCTAGCTGTATAAATGTATATTGAGCTATAGATTTGCGATAAAAAGCAACAAAAATAAGTTGAAATAAAACTAGTAATAAAATAAAAAATGCACCAATATGATAATTGTATCTATGGTAGTTTCTGGTGTATCTAAAACTTATGTGTGAACAAAACAAAGTTTAATTCGTTCATTTCAGGATAACGAAAAATATTACGTTGAAGAAACTTGCGTTCTTCATGAGTAATAAATAATATCAGTCATCATGATATTTAGAGTAAGTTAATGTAGAAAATAATAGTATTAACAAATTTTCATATTATCATAGCAAAAATTAATTACTGCAGATTTACAAAAGCATTGAAAAATGTGATATTATTCTAAGATACCTGCTTCGTTTCTTGCTTCGAGGAAAACCCTTATTTCTTCTTCTTCTTCGTCGTCGTCGTTGTTGTCTTGATGAAGAGTCACTGATATCTTCTGAATGTTCATTTTCGTCCGGTAAGAAATCTCTGTCGTAAGGTGGTGGGGGTATTGGTTGGTAATCGTAGTCATGGTAGCAGTGATGTCCACGACTCATACCACTCATGCCAAACGATCGGGTGTATTCATGACGCTGCATGGTATGGCGCATACCGTTGTACCTTCTGTGGTGCCTTGTGTGGTGCCTCATGCTATGATGGCCGTCACGGCTATGATGACCATGATGTCCCATATTATGGTGGTGGTCCATTCCGTGATGGTGACGGAAATCATGAGAGCGATGATGATTACGATTATGATGATGATGATTTCTGTTAACATCATAATAATCCGTATCGGCAGGATCGTCGACTTTATCGTGGGCAGTTTGAAAAAATGGACTTCTCAGTCTGTTGCGGCCACCATAATGGCTTTCCAAAGATCGTCTTTCTGACCCGTGAGTTTGCCTTTAAGGATGGAGGGTTTGTTTAAAACAAATTTCAATGTAACCAAAGGAATTTTATTTGAAGCAAGTAAAACTAATGAAATACTAAAGAGTAATCTACATCAACAACAATGAACCAGTATAACCTAAGTGTATCTATTTTGGAGAATATTTCCAGAAAAGCAAGAAAACAATAGAAAAGAGAATATGCAAATGCAGTGTAATATAAAGAAAACCCAAAAACTGACGAATAAAAATTCTAATATGAAAAAGCATAAAAAGGAATTAATAGATTGTGTATTGATAATGAAAAATAAAAGAACTAAACAAAAGAAATGAAAAATGAATGCCTAACACATCAGGGTTTCTAAAGGATAAGTAAAGTAAGTAATTTAAAACATTTTAATAATGTTCATTTAAAAAATATCAGTTGCAATATTAATATTCATCCTTAGTACAATTATCCGTCAATGAAATTTAGCAAATTATGTCAAGGCATAAAATAGGGAAATAGAATATTAGCTAAATGCATAGACTTCAATAAAATAAAGAAAACAAAATTGAGTAAAGTAAATCGCATATAAAAACAAAACAAAAATAAGTCCCTTGCTATTTGAAAGGACATTTTAATATTTGCGCCAACATTATTTTTCTTATAAAATGTTATATAACTCTTATAAAATAATGAAATTCTTTTTGCCAAACACTTTTGGTTTTTTTTTTTTTTAGTTTTTTTTGTTTTTTTTCTGGACTTCATGTGGAAGTTTCACCTTTATTTTCAGCCTTTCAGGAAATTGAAATTCAAATTATATATCAATATTATACAAACTGTATAAAGACGAATGGATGAACCAGGTGAGTCTGAAGATTAGTCAGTTGTTGCAAAAATACGTTTCCAATAAAATTTAAAATATAAAAGTAGAATTTAATAAATAGAAGGAATATTCATTAAGTAAATTAACCAAGATAGCGATTAAGACTATTTTTCTAAAATGTGTATAACACTAGTTCAATACCTTATTATAGTTACAATGAAAATTAAAACTCAATTATTTCAGTTCGTAAAATGCATCATAATAAAGTAAAGTGAAAATGAATACAAGAGTAAATCAATCAAAATGTAGAAGCAGAGCAAAACCATTTATGCTAATCGATCTTCAAATAAAACCAACGCAAAAGATTAGAAAATCTATTAAACATTCAAGCAAAGATCACAAATAAAAATGTTCATTTTGCTTTGGAAAGTTCTAGTCTCATCATTGAAAACGTATTGATACTCATTCCCCATCGGTATCATCGGTTAAAGAATTCAGAATATTATAAAGCAATATGTTTAGAAATAAATGTCGTCCACCAACAGACTAACTGGGCGCCTCGGCATGGAGTAAATGTCAGCTAAATAGTCTGTTTAACTAATAGTTTTAAGTTCGACCCTCAGTGGGTACCCCATACGTGTAACCTTGTACCAAATTAAGGTAAGTTTAGTAAACGACAACAATGTCTTAGCTGATTAGTAAGAAAGAAATAGGGTCGTGAAAAAGTAAATGGTAACTATTAAGTATAATCATTCTATCCTGAAAGGCATACAGAATAGATAAAAGTATGGAGTAACGTAATTGTGTTTACTAAAGAATTAAATTACATATTTACATATTACATATTTATATTATGAATGTACATTTTTAAGAAGAATTACTTTTAGCACAAACTTTTCCAATCCTTTCCTCTTTTTCAACTGAAACATTATATCGATATTATTATTTGTTTTTATGAAAACGTTTTAAATAAATATATAGAGTATTTATTAATGAATATGCACTTCTATTAGCATTTCCCGCCAATTTTTACTCCATTAAAAAGATTTGTTACATTAGATTATACTATTTTTAGAAAAATATTAAAAAAATATTTAAATAAGCAAATTTGTGCGACTTTTGGCACCGGGAATCTGATAATTCCTAAAATATTCGAAAATATTCTAGCATAATAAAAAATCTGTATGTACATAGCTCAACTTTCAAGATTCAGGTGCACAATGTATTTATTGGAAGATTACTTACGTTCTGCAGGGTTTTTTTCTTATGTTTGTATTTTCTAGATTGGCTCAAGAGGTGATTCGCTACAAAATTAGTACAAACATATCAATTGTACCTGAAGATTGGAGAAAAAAACAAATAATGAGCTCTAGACACATACGGATAAAGTCTGGTACATACAGATGAAATATGGAGAGGTGCAAGGAAACCGCCGCATCTTTTGCTGTCCCTTGAAAGGAAAGCTAAAACTATATGAATGAATCCTGTTTCTGTATGGTAGATATTATAGGTTTCAAAAAAACTAAGCATTGAGATATCACATTGTTAACTGTACTACATTTTAGAAATTTGTTTCAAACCCCTACTCATGATTTGAAAATATTTCGAAACTAAATCTTACGTTCTAACGAACTGGCTGACGAATAAAAATCCAATCAACGGTTTGAATGATTTGATTCGACATGTCAGATTAACAGTTATTGTGAGACTTTTAACATCAAAACGAAAGAAAGTGAATCTATTGAAGCATCTCTTTATAGAAAGTGTAGAAACATAACAAATGATTAGATAATCGAAAGCAAAATAAATCAACCAAAAACACAACTGAAATAAACTGTTTCGAAAAATCATTGAATATTTCTGAAAGAATTTGTAGAAAGCTTTTCTGCTTAATGAAAAATGTTATCTGTTGAATTTTCAATTACCCGATGAGACAACTGTTTTAGAATTGATATTTGATAATAATTATTTAATGATTCGATTTGAGAATCATTATCATTAAGAATCATATCGAACAAAACAAGGCTGTTTTTATTTTATTACGTATTCAATATAATTAATGAAAAGTAAATAAAGGCTTGTATGATACTGTGTAATGTAGTAAAGTACTTTGCACCTAATACTTATAAAATCCAATTAAATAATAATAAAATAAACACATGCTGGCAGCCAAATTCAAAGAAACATATCTGTCTGTATACGCACACGCGCATATCTAGGTACTTGTGAGAGAGGCTGAATGAGAAAGCGCATTACAGTGGATTCCATTTGAAAGAATATTTGATAATAGCCTGCACTTCTGATAAAGATATTAAAACAATTATTTTTTCAGTTGTCTTTTTCAGATCTCAAAGTACGATTTATGAATATATATATAAGGGTGGCTTTTATCATGTACCTTGTGAAAGGTTAGTTTTCTAAACTTGGAAGTTTAATTCTCAATGAAAATTAATACAGATGAAAAAGACAATGTTAAATCGCAAACAATAATAGTTTTGCTCAAGCTATCAGAATAAAAATAAATTTATAATGTGAGCATGAAGACTACAGGAAAAAATCAAGCTGTTATTTATTATGAAATCCTATGTGTACATGCATGCATGCGTAATAACTCAGCACAATTTTATTTAACCTGTGTTGTTGGCTTGTAAATGTGATTCAATAAAAATGCATGTCAGAAAACTATTACAAAGAGACAAACTTCAAGCTTCACTTCTTTTTATTAAACTTAAACAAAACCCGAGTAAATTAGTAGAAACCACTGGTTAATAATATCATTACTGAATTTTCTTTCTTTCTTCTAAATTTGTATATAGATACATTCTATTAAAAGTTAGGCAAACACACTTTTATTCAATCTGACATAAATTTATCCGTGAAGTTTAAGTAAAGGAATGCAGGCCGAGAGATTTATGAAAATGAGCCTGAAACAGTAATCGGCAATACCAGATTACAAAAGACAGGCATATTTCTGTTTTCGCAAGCAAGAATGCATATAGATATATGAACTATGACTTGTTTGTCGTGAACTATGCATAAATATTTCACATTTTCAATTGTCTTTTTCAGATCTCAATGCATGATTTGCGAATAAATGAGACTATGAAATATCAGTGATATCGAGAAATGTAAGATTAGTTTATTATTTTCACTTGGGAATTTACCAGCGACAATTTTCTCTCACAAAACTGTCATAAAGCACACGATAAGCAGCTCTCTGCAAGTACAAATGAATTCTGCAATAAAATTTGTCTATTCCTATCTTTGTGAAACCATACCAATTCATGGACAGGTGTTATAATACTTCTATACATATCTTTCTCTCATGTGAATATGTTTTTACTTTTATATAATCCATATTATTATTATTATTATTATTTTTATTTTCTTTGATTTCTGGCGTTTACACATTTCTTTCCGGGTCCCGCCCAGGGACCTAAGGTTAGAAATGGCGTCATGACACTTTCCACTGACAAAAAAAAAATAAAAATGACATAGTTAAAGCCCTTCGTAAGGTGTGGGCTGTACTTGTCAGAACAATTTTTGTATCTCCTTGAGGCATGGACTTCCAGGAATCCCTTCAATTAGTCTACTGCAATCTTTTCCAACCAGTCCTAGGGCTCCAACTACAACAGGGATTGTTGATGTTCCCATGTGCCACATTTTCGAGATTTCTATTTCAAGGTCCTTGTACTTTGACAACTTTTTTAATATCTTCAAAGATACATTGCAGTCAGCATGGACTGCCATATCAATAAGGAGGCACCTTTTTTTTTGTTCAGCTCCCTCTTTTTTTTTTTTTTTTTTTACCGTATATTTCAATTTTTCTGCCCCCCCCGCCGACCTTAAGCGGACATCCGTGTTCATTTTTCACTTTCTTTTTTCACTTTTTCTCTCTTACTTTAAGCATCCCAAATCTCTGTCGCTGCGTATATGTGTACATGTTTACTAATATCTGTCTTTCTCTCTCTCTCTCTCTCTCCCCTGTATGTATATATATATGTATGTATACGTATATAATTTGCATGTGTATGTATCCGCATTGACAGGGATCATATTGTGTTTTTATTTTTATCTTTTTCGTGGCTACAGGTGTGATTTTCCAACAATGCTCTGCCCTTTGACTATACTTGGATGACGTCATTTTTCGCTTCGGTGATTTCAGCTTCGTGGTTTTCAAGGAATTGTAACTTATTGTCACTGAAGATGACTCCAGGTACAGTTTCTGGAGGACTGTAGGTTGTGTTTAAGGTAGAGATTTGCAATTTTATATATAAAGAGATACTGAAAAGTTTTCTATCCGAGCAAGAAGACCTTTCCCACGAAAATTATGATCTTTGGTCGGATGTTCAAAATGAGAACTTTTCAGCACTCCTGATAGATAGATAGATAGATAGATAGATAGATAGATAGATAGATAGATAGATAGATAGATAGATTGTTGAGCTAGAAAACACCGGATGATAGATGTCAGTTTCATTAGAATATGCCAAATTTTAAACAGGCACAAACACACACTCACTTTCACAACACCCCACCCCTACACACACACACACACACACACACACATATATATATATGTGTGTGTGTGTGTAGAGTTTTGCCTTATGTGTCATTTTTAGTTTTTCTTAATTTTTAGAAAACTAAAGAAGAGATTCACAGAAATATTTTCATTATTAATGTTCAAACTATTTAAACTATTTCACATAATATGTATACATTTATATTAAACTACATGTCATTTACGGTGTGGCAAGTTTTAGTAAACTTACCGGATTATCTGTTTCACATTATTAGCCAGGGTTACTGAAAATCAAATAAACGTTATGTTGTACTTACAAATTATAATTACATTATGTGAAAAAAGTTTGCAAAGATGTTTTAAACAAAAAATTAAAAAGCGTCATTGTAATTAAGACATTGTTACAAATACAACATTAATGAGAAAGGTTACCACCATGTTTTGAATGTAGTTTTAGAATTTGATCATCTTGTGAGCTTATGTATTTCCGATTATGAAGCAGATGACACAAATCCGGAATAGCATTTGAAACTTCCTTTTTACTGCTAAATTGCTTTCCGCTAATTTTCCGTTGTTCTTTGGAATGCTCCACAAGATCTTAATCGGGTTATGGTCGGGTGAACAAACTGATCATTTCATCAGTCAAAACCAGCTTTATTAAGATGATCATTAGTTTTCTTCGCTAAATATGAAGTATTGTCAGGCATAAAATATTCTTCTTCTTGAAAACGTTTTGCTTCTTCTTGAACCATGGTTCTACGTGTGCCTTCAAAGTTTATGTCATGTTAACAGATGTTTTGTGATGGTCTTTTAGGCGGTGTATATTTATAATTTCATCCCCAAACATCATAAAACCTCCGCCTTGTGAAGAATTTCTGCCAGTAGTCATACAGCTTTTGCTCCACCGTCTGTTTCATTGATACGACACTCACAGGTAAAAAGAACGGTTGACGAATCGTTTTCCTGTACGCTCATTTCATAAGAATTTCCTTTTTAAAGCAAATTTCTTTTTTCCTTTTAAAGGAAACCTTGTCCCAATATTTTGTGATTTTCAATAATTTCTCGCTCACAACATTTCAACATTTAATATATTGACAAAAAATATTTCTAACTTCTCTCTTGATAGGGGAGATATAAGGTAATAGAGCGAGATAAAGTCCTCATTTTGTCTTTATCCGACCTGCACTGAAATCTTCCATAAGCATTTCAACAACCGCCTTTACATTTCAAGGCTGCCTACTAAACTGTTTTGCAATTTCTGTTGCCATTTTACTTTTTGCAAGCTCTGAAGTTATTAAAAATTTTTCTTTATCCTCCAAATCAGTTCAACAACTCATTTTAAAACAATTTTGAGATTTCATATAAATGGCTACTGTTTATTTGCATTTGCATAGAACGAACAGGTTTTCATTCCAACTGCGTGGATATTACAACCATTCAGGTATTAAATTCCAATAAGTACCTATTTTTATGTAGCGATAAAAAAGTACTTTATAATGTAAGACGCAGTATATATGACAGCCGTCTGAAAAGGCCATAGGATGTCCAAAATATAAATGTAAGTAGACATACCATTTTTAGATATGCAAATGTACTACTGTCTACTTACACTTATATCTTGACCAACCTAGGAACTTTCCACCTGAAACCTCGTATATATATATATATATATATATATATATATATATATATATGTATGTGTGTGTGTGTGTGTGTGTGTGTGTGTGAAAGAGAGAGAGAGAGAGAAAGAACTACTAGTCACGGTACGGTAACATAGTAACTTTTTTGGTCTTGGATTGTGTATATATATATATATATATATATATATATATATATAGTGGTATATAATTTGGCGTCAATTCTCTTCTAGTTTTGTTTAATGGAAATGGGTGATGCTGGAAGTCATAAGGATAGAATACTAACTCCCATCACATTTCTCAAATAGAAAAGCTTTTCTTATCACAATGTTAAAAACAGACATAAGATAAAAATGTTTGGAATTAATAAGTACAAGATTTCACTAATATCAAAATAGAAAGAAAAGTGATGCAAGTGTTAATAGATTAGTCGTTATTCTTTTTCGGTTTATAGAAACAGTTGAAGAAAAAATTCTTATTAAGAATTGTCTTAAAATAAGAATCAATGAGAAGTCGGAAATGTATTTTGATTCTGTGTGTAAATAAGGGGAAAATAAATAAGGGAAAATTCTATAGTTCAGGAAAAATCAGTAAAGAAGGGCATAAAACAGTTAAATTAAGAAAAAATTCTCATAAAAATAAATGATATACACATCATATTTGCGGAACCTTCTTAAAAATAAAGAAGAGAACATTTGTAAAGAATATATTCATAGGCAAACCAAGACTAAGAATAAGAAAATAAGTGAAGAAAAATGTTGAAAATTCAAAGGAAAAAGGATTGAAACAGTATATTTTATAGGAAAACACCTGAAAGAATTCATTAATGTAAATTCTGATTTTGTGTTTCCATCAAAATATGAAAGAATGACTCTTCCAAATAGGCAGACATAGATGCGTGAGCACGTGCACGCACACACTAAAACTAAGGAACATTCTCGTATCAGAAATGAAAAGCTTATAGACATTTTAGATGTATTTAAAAAACAATTCTCTTAATGCATTTAAGTACTTAACATTTGAAAAATATACTGTTATATTTCCGTTCATTATTCATAAGAAATATCAGTTTAAGAAAAATATTCTCAAAAAAAAAAAAATTAAGATTATTGAGAAGACATCAAATCTATCACTAATGTCCTTAATTTTCTTAATTTATAATAGAGCAAGTTAATTTAAGAGTTTAAATAATTCAAAAATATTTTCAAAGTGGTTTTTCGTCGAATGAAAAAGTTTGTTACATCTAAAACAATCCTCAAGTTATTATGCGTTCGGTTTGATGACATTATTATATGATAATCCACAAAAACAGCTGAATACTCAAAGATTATGAAAGCGTCACATGGTTTAAAATCTATTTCATTATTTCAAACTTCATTATTTCCATACAGTCATTAAATGTGAGATTTTTATTCATTAATGAATACACACATATACTTGAGTTGACATACATTTTTGTCATTGCAATCGTGCAAAACTTAGATTAAAACAAAGAATATCATTAACATAATCATATATATATATATATATATATATATATATATATATATATATATATATATATATACAGACATACATATACACATACATACATACATATGATATATGTATATATATATATATATATATATATATATATGTGTGTGTGTGTGTGTGTGTATATAGTGTGTGTGTGTGTGTGTATGTTGTGGACACTGAGGTCAACAATGAGTGGTGCCAGTTGAACAACAATGAGTGGTGCCAGTTGTTGCATAGTTGAACGCAATCTTCAGATCGGATATACATATATATATATATATATATATATGGATTATGTTTCTCTTTTTCTTTATGTGTGAATTGGCATGAATGTTTGGGATAGATAGATAGATAGATAGATAGATAGATAGATAGATAGATAGATAGATAGATAGATAGATATTTATTATCTTTTATAATAACGATATTTTGCGTCAAAGTTAAATTAATTTTCACATAGTAATCTAATAATCGTGATATCTAAATTAAGAAATGACAAATCTGATTAGAACATTATATGCCTAAAATTAGAAGACGTTCATTAGGCTGTTCTACTCTGCGTGCTTTAGTGTCAGTATGAGTTTCAATCTTCGTATTTATGTTACATAATGCACATGGTTAATAGTTAGTAATTAAATAAAGGGATTAAATCATAAGCTACCGTACAACATTCACTATGTATATTATCTTCTCTGTGCGTGTTGATGAGTGCATATGCGTGTGAAATGGAAATTTAAGTGATATGCTTAAATGCTAGTATATGAAACTCAATGATAAATAAATGTTAAAATAAATAATTTTTTTTTAAATTGCATGCGAGTTATTTAAATTACCTGCCGAAAAATGTTTTCTGTGTGTCCTTCTCATCATTTCCAAAGTATCGATCATCATCTCTTTGTCGTCTACAATTTACAGTTGAAACAGAGAACAGAAGGAATACGTACAATATGCTCAAAAGGGGAACAGTCCACCCGTTAAAAGCCATTTCTGTCTTGAATTACTATTAGACAGCGTAAATTCCGAACTTTGCTTCACAATTCCGTTGTTATATATAATGTTGATGTCGATGAATTACTAGGATCGGTCCGAACTCCTCGAGCTGCAGCCACAAACTCAGAAATAAAATCTGCTAGCCTGTTTTTATCACTTCACAAGAGTTTTGTTTTAGTGTTTTTGGGATTTAACTGATTCCCCCCCCCCACTTCTTTCTCTTTCCAGACTTCTCTTTCTGCTTTATTACTTTGACTTCTTCATCATATTTCTCCTTCCCGCCTATGTCTGTCACTGTTTTTCTAAACGCTTGGCATAGATTATTTTCTCACACTAACGTTTTGCTTATTTTTATCAGTCTTCTTGCGTTTTGCTCTTTCGCGAATTTTCTCTACTCCAACCTCTCTTCAGCACTTCCCTTTTCCTAAATGCCACAGTTGTTTTCCGCTCTTCTGATAATGACACTGACCGAACAGTTCTGTTTCAGAGTTTTAGATGCTTTTCATTAAGGTTTTGAAACGGCTAAAAAATCAAGGATAACCGTGTCGGAAGAAGAAGACGTTGAATTTGGCACCGAACCAGAGACTTGCAAATATTTTCTTTTTTTTTTTTTTTCTTTTTGACGATTTGAAAAAATATTTGCCTGAAAAGGAGAGAGGTCAAGGCGAAGGTGGCAGGAAGAAAACTAGATCACAGTAAACTGAGCCATGTGAAGGAGAGGAAGAAGGGAGAAAAGTGCCCCCGCTTCCCCTGGGTTAGACACCCCGATATTAACTTCGTCTACCCGATGACATTTCGCTTTCCTTCTTTGTTGATTAGTAATCACCCAATAAAGCAGCCAATCAGCTTTTAGCTCAATTTCAATTGCTCTAAAATGTTCGTGTTTATCAGTCAACACATATGTACCAGAATATTCCAGAGTGCATCTTTTATATAGTCATATATTTGTCACCAATAATATGTATTATATTTATCTTTATAGAATGAATCAAATAGAAAAAGAGAGAAATATGAAAATGTATAACGCAATTTAAAATCTAAATATATTTAAAGAAACAGATATAGCGGATTAATCTATTATTTACGTATGTCTTCATGTACCTATGAACAATTTTATTTATTAATGATCAAACAATGCGTACGTGTTTATTTTCTCTCCTTTAAAAATATTTCTATTTAATAAAAATGATTGTACAGAATAACAATAACTAGTAAAAAAAAAAGAACCCGTTGCTTCTTGAAAAGAATATGAACTAATCGGTTTAACTTTTCCAAAACAGGTATATCAGCATAACTAGAAAGTTTTCTTGAAATTAGAACCGATATCTTACAACTACAAAACTCTTAACACCAACATGCCAGCATATATTTTTTGTGTTTAGGAATTAGTTAAAGATGTCTTTTTAATATCACATTTAAAATCATCTTAATGGCTGATTTAAACACAACTATGCACATGCTTTAGAATGGCCATTAGATCGATAACAATTCAAACAATTCGAAGTAGAAAGATTAGTAGATTATTGTTGCTATGAACTCGGATTTTCTGCTTACTTTTTCATCTTCATTTTTTTCTATATGGCTGCCTTGCAATTAAAAGCATTCGGCTTTGTGCAATTTAAGTAATTGACACAATTCAGTGAGCAACGAGTGCAGTCATCTAAAAAACAGTTCTTCAGAAATATCTTTTTTTAATTACAGGAGTAACATTCACATCAAATAGTGATGAATTGGTTCAGCAGATTTAAGACAAAAGCTGTCGTTAGCCTATAAGCACAAAAGAGACAATTCTAGAATTGATTTATATTTTTTAACTAATTTATCCGTCAAAAAATAATGAAAATATTTTTTTTTATTTTGTTAATATTTTATAAGTACAACGAAATTATAAAATAAATATTCATTTATCTGAGAGTTAAAAATAATACTGAAATAAGACAACTGAAGATGAAATTTATGGTGTTTCTTTTGTCCATGTTGAAATAAAAGAAAATTCTATTTCCACTACGTCATCAGAAAGATCTTATATACTAATTCGGGTAATTAATGTGTAATTCGCTCACCTTTGTGTAGTGGAGATATTTGGTAACGGAGAAAAGTGTTACACACACACACAGTATATGTGTGCGCACGCGAGTGTGAGAGAGAGAGTAAAAAATTTTATATGTGGATTTTAGTAGTATTAATCTAGGAAATACAGATATAAGTCTTTTTAAATATTTTAGTCCTTCCGACAGCATTTTAACCATGAAAAAAATAGTTCCTCTTTTAAGCGGCGCCAATTTACCAAAAAGACGAGGCATTTAAACCAACTAAATCGGGCTTCGAACGCCGCATATGTATGTGCTCTGCGTCTCCTTATCTATTCTATTTGTCTTTTTTTCTTTTGGCACTAAACTTAAACTGGATTGGTAGAACCTTCTCCTAAGTATTTATAGAGAAATTATTCTTGCGGTAATAAGGCTATTTTCATTTTCTGCTCGATTCTACTTTGATAGGATATAACACAGCTTATACGAAGTTAAAATTTAATGGTTAATAATGTACTGACTGATCCCTAACTAACCCACCACTTTTACTTTCAAAGAGTTACGAGTAGATAAAGCCACGTGTTAGCCATGTGAATAAAGCGAGAAAAGGTGTAAATATAAAAAGGAGATTTCTCCTTTTTATATTTACGCTTTTTCTATCGTTTTTAAAAGCAGGAACAATCGGTCCGCTGTTAACAGAAAGAAGTCTTGGGAATAGAAGGTTTTGTCTAATAGACGACTCAAAAGAAATACCAACAGATACTACAATGATCCGAATTGTAAAGAGGACAGAATTGCGATACTTGACAAGATCTAGGAGAGGATGTAAAGAAGAAATAAAGAAGAATGTTGATCAGATTTATTAGAGAAACGACTAGAAAAATCTATTATTTAACTGAGAGACTGATAGCCTGACCAACGGAACAAATGAAAGTCTGAATACTGGCAACATCGGTCACATTATAAAGCTTAAGCCACTTGTCATAATGAGTATTAAAAAACAGCAAACACAAAAATGTTCGCAAATGAATGGAGAGAGAGAGAGAGATAGAGAGAGAGAGAAAGAGAGAGAGAGACATTTCTATATTGTCAGAAATTTTGTCCAATATGTTACAGGCCTGAGAAGGTTAACAATAAAGGAAAAAATGATTGATAACATAGTGCAATAAAGAAAGTTGAAAGCATATGAAAGAATTATTCGGGGAATCAAGAGAGAATTCTCTTGCTATAGGATGATTTTCCCTGATGTAAACATCAATGCCATGTATATGTATCTTAGAATATTTTCGACAAAGATGAAAATTGACTGGAACAGAGAATTCATTGGTAGCGATAGAGATAAATTAGTTTCGCAAAGTGCGAAAATATTTGGAGAAAGTTTCAAGAGAAAAGATCAAAATTGATACGAATATTAGAGAAAGATTGAGAGGGGAATTTCTTTTTTGTTCACTAGTTTACTCGTATTTCTTTTCGTTGTCATAAGATTTTGTTTTAAGAAAAAAAAATAATTATAGTCATGATAGAAGAATTTCAATTAGTTTCGAACGCGCGAAGATAACTAGAGACTGTTTTCAATAGAAGCAAGAAATTGAAAAAGATCTCATTCATATTGGAGAAGGATAGGTTGAGGGGGTGATTTTTTGTTTACTGGATTTCTCATATTTCTTTTAATTGTACTTGTCATGAAAGAATTTTGTTTTAAGAACAAGAAAACAGCAAAAGGTTAAAATAATTATAACTATCCGTCGTCTATGGCAATACAAACTGGCCAAAACGTGGCTACGACTAAAGCATAATGTTGCCTCAGGGTTGCCCAGCGGAAATACATGTAGGGACACCAACCCATCCGTGACGTGGCACTACCCGATATTATGCGAGTCTTGAGTAGAGCAGCCTCTCTAAGCGCTACAGAAGAGTTCAGGATCTTTACTTCCAGTGGTATGCAGCAACCAGAAAACTGCCAATCCGGTACCCTCATAATGTAATGTCACAGAAACTGATCAGTCAGATCACCAAAAAAGACAGTTAAATCATTATGGCCAAGGAAGAAGAAAGAACCGGCAAACCATATCCTAAACAGGAAAGAGATAAACCTCTACTCCGATTCAATAAACGTGAAAAGAGTATTAGTTTGGCGTTAGGTGAACCTATCGACTCCTATTAGCCTCTTCACAGCACAGGAGGCTGGACATCATCTCTAGATAGGTTACCAAAAAGGCTTTAGACTCCTCCCAGGCCAAAGGGAGCTTACTAAATTATTAAAACCTCTCTGGATGTTACCCCAGGAGTTGAAATCAAAGGAATATTAACATAAAATTAGATTACTTAATCAAGTCAAAATCAATAAAAATTTAAAGTTTAAATACACGCAGCCACACGCTCCAGCACACAAACACACGCTTGCGCGCGCACACGAACGACCATATACACATATATTTTACGCTAGACATCGCAATAAAGACTTCGTCGTCAAATGGACCACTTATTCTTACTAATATCATAATTTCTGTTTAAATGATGAATAATAAAAATCAATCAATAAATATGAAAAGAATATATATATAAGATTATTGATAAATATATATAAGATCTTTTTATTATTGTTACTAAAACTGTTTGAATGATAAATAATAGAGGGAAATCACCTATTCAAAAAGCATTAATCAGAAATAAACAAAAAGAAATAAATGTTGCAATTCGAAAGTTTTCCTTACAAATACAAATTTTAAAAAGTTAGGGGAGGAAATGTGGTATAGTCATGTAGTTTAACATGACACTCATTCCTGGCAGTAACACAGCGTAAGGCAGACCATTGTAAACAGTTGAAGGTTTTTTCTCGAGGATTGGTGACTCGGAAGCAGCCAGGGTTACTTTTGCTCCGGCCTTTCCTCTGAGGGAAAATACACTCACCAACACGATTCTTTTACAGCCTCTCTTACACATGTAGCAAACATAAAGTTTGTCTGTGCAACCTTTTTTGGAAACTTGCCTGTCCCTATGTACAATCATTTGATGTTTCAGTCCCGCAACAGACTTACAAAGCTTGTCATAAAACTCACACAAGTAGCCTACAGGTCTTTCTGGTAGAGTTGCAGTCACAGGAGTTTCTACCTAACCTCTCTGGTATGATTTCACGTAACAGTCTAAACTAAACACCGAAAGGGTAACTTTTCCATAAATACTGCAAGTGTGTTGGTGTGGAATAGTTCTGGGACAGATTATTTCTCCTTTCTTAATGGTATTGTGGCACCATGCATCCGGACGATTTGAAAGAAATATTTATAGATATATGATTTGCTTTTTTACGGTTTATCAACCATTTGATAATTATTTAAGGCCGAAAAATATTTTAGGTTTTAAGAATAATTCTTTCTTTGCATTCAAGCGATTTGGGAGAAAGAAAGAGAAAACGAAGAAGAAAGAAAGAAAAAAGTAATACGAGACGAGCCATAGGCGAACACACACACACACGGCTTAAGAGACGGAAAGGAGGAGGGAAAAGGTTATAGTTGATAGGTATCAGATGTCGAAAATATCTAGGTCACCTACGAACAAGCGTTGACCGATTTCCGCTTGTCCACGAAAAATGGAATTTTGTTATCAATTGGATGTTACCCAAAAGAAGAAATTCCATTGTTGAACATTGACGAAACACAGACAGTCTTCCTGTGGAAAAAAAAATCCCACACAAGAAGTTTTCACTGGCTAAATTTTTTTCTTTTGACAGAATAAACGTTTGCCCTGTGATAATAAAGATTTTTTGTCATCAACCCATGGGCCGAAAGGAAAATGAAATATTTTTATTTTTTGCTTTAGAGACGCCAGGTAGGCTAGGAAATTTTCTTTCTTAGATCATGTCCAATTAGCGATAAACTGCTTGACAAACGCCACGTGTTAAAGCCGAGAGTGTCACATCGGCCGCTCATGATAAGGGCGATTTAATTAAAAAATTTTTTAGTTAAGCAAGCTATTTCTTTCCCAAAACAAAGCCACGGGTTATTCACGCCCGACTAAGACGTCATTGGCCAAGTGGATCACATGACGCACGAAGGAGGAGGAAAAATACCCGACTAAGACGTCATTGGCCAAGTGGATCACATGACGCACGAAGGAGGAGGAAAGATACCCGACCAGGACCTCATTGGCCGAGAGCGGTCACGTGACGCACGAAGAAAATCAGTCGACGCCTCTATCAGAGTGTAAGTGTGAGAAGCCGATACGAAGAAGTGGGGAAGTTAGTGCACGCCCCTCAGAAGCACAGTGAGAGAGTGGGAGTGAGAAAGGAGTTACCAAAAATGGAAAAGAGTGGAAAATCCCTAACCAGAAATAAGAAGGGTGGATACGTATTTAGAATTATCGAAGAACCCCTGGTGCCGACAGACCCACCCCAGTTTTGACGGCGTCAATAAAAGCGAAAACCCAACCGACAGAAATCAGTTCGTTCGCCCCAAGCGGGCAGAAGAGGCCAGTTCGTTTGGCCCTGAGTGAAGAAGTTCGTTCGCCCCAAGCGGGCGAGAAGAAGTTCGTTCGACCCAACCTGGCGAGAAGAAGTTAGTTCGCGCACCGGCGGCAGAGATGAGTGCTCAGTAGTCCAGACTCTGGAGAGTTTGAGTTCAGCCGCGGACCCTGGCGACAAGCAGAGATGAGCGCCCAGTGTTGAAACCGCATCAAGATAGCTGACCAAGATTCACGCACACTTTTGGACTCTTCTTCAACCAAGAACAAGTAGTTTGAAGAGCGACTTAGGACCAGACCACAGAAATAAGTTTTTCGACTTTCGTCCAAAGACACACCGAAACACAAATTTCTTAGAGAGCAGACAACTTGAAGCGTTAAAGTTTGCCTAGTGAAAGCATCGTGCCACAATCCACAGAACGGGCCGGGAAGTAGACATAGTCCTATGTACCGAACAAATAGACATAAAAAGTTTGTTACCTTTTTCTTTGATACCTTGAACTTTGTGAGTTTTCATTTAATTTTCTTTTATACATATTTGTGTGTTATCACCCCGTTGAACTCAGCTTGCATTACGGCCCCAACCCCTGTTGATCTCGTCTGTCTAAGATCAATTCACAACGTGGGTAGGCAGACTGGAGGTCAGTGCAGTTACCCTGGTAACCAGGCGTTGGAAGCGGGTTGGGAACGGCGAGGCTGGTATCAATCTAACCAGATTCCTACCCGAATCACCAAAGGGTTAGAACGTCACGTTTGGAGCAGCGACACCCGGACGGAGCGGCGAGGAGCGAACAGCTGACGCCGCGGCGAAGACGTCACAATTGGTGCTGTTTAGGGACGTCACAACTGGCGCCGTGGTAGATCAGGATAGAACGTCACAGTCGGCGTTGCGACCGGGGGACGACGTCACAGTATGACGTTTGTTGGAATGCTCGATTCTCTTCTGCTCAAAATTGTTATAGCGTTCCCATATCAATCTTCTCCCACCAGATCTATCTCTCTATTTCCCAGTCTTCAACATTAACGCTAAGAGTCTTTAGGTTACATCCTTGAACTGGATCGATTACTTTCTAACAGCTCATCATATAAAAACAAAAAATCACTTTTGGGAAATCTGCCATCCCCCATACGTGTCCGGTGACCTGTTGAGCACTTTTGATTACGGAGAATTAGTTTTGCGCGCTGAAGGATTTTTCTGTACAAGATTCGTCTCAGGCACTACTGGTGAAAATGCTCTAAGACCTTAATGTGCTTGAGTATCAGCTAGGTTTATCTCAAAACGATAAACCTTTTTGACATGACTGATGCTAACTCCCAGGAGAATGATTTATCCCACCTTCTAGGGCTAACCTTTTCTACTGACATCAAGTGGAAAGATTAGATTGAATCAATTGCTAGGTCCGCTGCTAGGAATATTGCTTCACTGCGTCGCGCCACACAATTATTCTATACAGATTATATCTGTAATATTTATAAGTTTACCATTCGTCCGTGTTTGAATATTGATGTCACATCTGATGCGGTGCTTCTTCTATATATTAAGATATTCTTGATGAACTACAAATAAGAATCTGCAATGTTATTGGTTCTGAATTGGCATCTCGGCTTCAGTCACTTTCCCACC